GATGGACGGGGATGCCAGCTCAGTGCATAATCTGTTTTCTAAAAGTAAATTGGAATATTAAAAATTCATTCCTTCCCTTGGCTCGCGCCTGCTCTCGGCATTTTAAATAATGGGGTGATTGACTCCGTGTTCAGCCTGGGGAGGACGTTTCATTCTGCTGACTGTCGCCGCAGCATCGATCACACCTTGCCGGCATCTGTCTGCAGGTGCAGCGTGTCACCTCCTCCCGACGGCTCCCAGCCCCTTGGGGCAGTCACAGCCCGGGGGTTGTCCCCGGGGCCATGGAGCACAGCGTTGCCTGCAGACCCCAACCCCGGCGGGGATCAACCCCTTTCTTTCTTAGTCATCACATCTAGGGACAAACGCGAGAAGCATTTCACGCTTCTGGTGGAGCTTTCATGCCCAACCTGCGTGGAGATGGTTGTCTCGAGGCGGGCAAGGGCTGCCCGGGGATGGCAGTGCTGTCCCTGCGCGCTCCCAGCTCTCTGCTGAGGACTCCATTTTGTGGGTTGGTGAAATTTGGTTTAGCCACGGCTGTGTGATGGGTAACCCCAACCTGCCCCTGTGCGTTGGGAGCTCAGCGAGAGCAGGCATGAGCGTCGAGCTCAGGAGCGCGTCTTCCAGGGCTGGTTGGCTCAGGGTTGGATTTAAGGTTTTTGGGGCTGCTGGATGCACTGCGGCTGAGCGAGGGTGGTCTCCCCTGTGGCACTGATGTAACCCATTCCCTCCAGGGGCTGACGCATGATGGCCCACAGCCAGTCTCGGAAGCGATCGCGAAGCAGGAGCAAAAGCAATTCTCGGAACAGACAGGAGAGGAAGGAGAAGAAAAAGAGGAAAAGCAGCAAGGACTCACGCCGGGGCAGCAGCTCTCCTCCAAGGAAGCGGACCTCTGGGTCTCACAGACAGAAGTCGAGCTCAGCGGCAGCTAGGGAAGGTAGGAGAACGGCCCGCGACACCGCGCTTTCACCACATTTTCCTGGGGCAGGTGCACAGAGGGGGCCAGGTGGGAGAAGAGGGTCCCTTCTTTTAGCTAAATCAGTGTCTCTTGCCTTGCTGTGCACTTTGTGCCCCTTTTAGTTTCGTTCTGACAAGTGCGGAGCCCCACAGCCCCTCCGCGTGCTGGTCTGGCAGCACGGTGCTGCACGCCGTGATGTCTTAAAGGTGTCGGCACAGAGGGGCCTTTGCCCCAGCCTTGGGGGCTCTGGGGGCTTTGCTGTTCAGGCAAGAAAGAAACTGGGCTGGGAGGGGGTGACCAGCATCCCTGCTGCCGTCGGGCCAGAGCTGCTCCACTCAACCAACCTCTTCTTCTGTATTGCAGAAAAGAAGAAAGAAGGAAAGGACAAAAAGAAGAGGAAGGCAAGTACCTCTTCCTCTGAGACAGCATCTTCATCCACTGGCTCCTCCTCGTCTTCCTCTTCCTCCAGCTCCTCTTCTGATGACTCCAGTGACAGTGACTCCAAAACGAAGAAGAGTCGACACAGCAAAAAAAAGCGAGCAAAACAGAAAGACAAAAAGAAGAAGAAGAAGAGAATAAAGAAGAAATCAAAAAAGAAGTCAAAGGAAAGGGCTAAGGAGGAGAAAGCCAAGGGAGAAGTGGTGCCCGGCCCCTCGCTGGAGCAGTGGCAGAAGGAGTCACTGGTGGACTCTGGACCAGGTAACGGTGTTTCCCTGCTGAAGTCAGGGCACACAAGTGCCGCGCTGGGGAAAGACGCTCGCACGTCGCCCTTCTTGGGACCCACGCGAGGTGTCTGAGGGAAGCAGGGCTCTGTACAGAGAGGAGCTCCTGGTGCTCCTCCCTCCTACATACTGTGGCCGCCTTCGAGCCACACCAAGTAAACGTAAGGAGCCACATTCAGCGAGTCATTTGTGAAGTGTTCAGATGTAGTTTATAGATGTGAGCCGGGAGCAAAGATGCCAGATGGAAGGTCATGGTCAGCAGTAACAAACTGGCAAAGCTGGTACTGGCTTTGGGACATGAAGTGGCCCTTCCTTTGTGTGGTTCATCACTGAACCCCGAGTACCACCGGGAAACTGGTGCGGCATGCGTGTCTGGTCATGTCAGGCGTGGTGCTGTGCCCCACGAGCACGGCTCTGATGAACTGATGCATTCCAGTTTTGACAGACGAACAAAAATCCCGAATCCAGGCTATGAAGCCAATGACAAAGGAAGAATGGGACGCGAGGCAGAGTGTCATAAGGAGAGTTGTGGATCCTGAAACAGGGAGAACCAGGTATGATCCCTGGGGAGAAGGGAGGCAGGTTGTCCATCCCCATCCGTGTTGTGTGGGTTGGAGGATGCCGGTCCACAGCACTGCAGTACCATGCGTGGACCCAGGTCTCCTTCAGCAGCAAAGGCCTGAGCCGATCCCTCACAGATCCCCTCCCATCAAACCTGGTGTAATTACCCAGAAAGTGACATGTTTGACAGCAAATTATCGAATTGTGCTGGGGCTCCATGCAAGGGGCACCGGGCTGCGTCCCAACCCAGAGCTGTGGGACGCAGACAGCAGAGCAGCTTGCTGCTGGAGGCAGCAGGTTTGTTTCTTGCGCTGTGAAGGGTTCAGCTTCTTCCCATTAAATGGGGCTCTGCAAGCAGGGGCAGAGCGGGAGCCGGAGGGGTGACTGACACCTCCTTACCCCACTGCTTCACGTACCTGCCTTTCAGCTCCGAAGCACACACGCAGTCAGCCCCGGTTAGCACCTGGGTGCAAGTGAGGCGGGAGTGTGTGTGCCCCTTGGGGTTACAGACAACAATCAAACCGAAGTTTGTTTAGCTGCCAAATAGAAATGACCCAGTTTTTAATAAACTGCATCTTCTCAGCAAGCAGAAAACATCATGCTGAAGAGAATTGGGTGTGACAAGTCCAGGCTTAAAATAGAAGGCAGCCTACGGGGCTCAGGGAGGTGTGGAACAAAGGTCGGTTCCCCGTAAGGCATGTAATGAAGACAATTAGATTTCTGTTCGTGTTTGGAGGTGTGAGCCACCTCCGACACTGCTTGGAATTCGCTCAGCAAGATGCTCCCCGGTCTGGCTGCCTTTCAGGCCCAAACTGGCTCCTGTTTCTGAATGGCTCTGCAGTTTCCTGGGGCAGCCAGGACCAGACCTGAACTCTCTGTGAAAAAAAGGAAGGGGTTTTGCAGGGGTTGGGGCTTTGCTGTTGACAGCGAAGCCTCTGCAGATGGTGGGGTGGCAGGAGATGCTTTTATTGCGAGTGTTTTCTCCTACCGTGTGCAAGCGCGACTGGCTCTGCACACAGCAGACCCTGCCCACCGCCTGGGGCAGGGATGGCTGGCCCATGCAGGAGGATGCTGATTTCTCAGGGGACCACACCTTCCTTGCTGTGGCGTGGTGACATTAATCCCATAAGAGCAACGGCAAAGCCTGCCATGCTATTGAAACTTGATACAGCAAAAAAAAAAAAAAAAAAAAAGAAAAATCACCTAATATAACTTCAGGGGTAGGTCGTCAGGTTGTCACTGGCCTTGCCTAGAGGTGCATCAGCCCAGCACCTGGTCCCGGGCACGTACCGCTGGGAGGGAGCTGGTGGCTGCGCGCCTGCGCTGGGGAACAACGGCAGCCCTCAGGGTGGGCTGGGGGGTCAGCGCCTTCTGCGGCTGGGAAACAGCGTGGCTGGCAGGAACTTGCCAGTAGCCCTCACGGCTCACGGGCCCGTGCTTCTCTTCCAGGCTTATTAAGGGAGACGGAGAAGTACTAGAAGAAATCGTCAGCAAGGAGAGACACAAGGAGATTAACAAGGTAGTGGGGACTTGCCCCCAGCATGAGCTGCTGATGGGTGGGTGGGCGCAGTCGGGGAGCTGCTCTACCCAGAGGTGTTGTCTTGCCTCCCTGGGGACCCCACCGACTCTACCAGGGCAAACCAAGCCCTGGCAGCTCCGCAGGGGCCCCCGCGGGTGGGTGCTGGCAGGGGCCCCTGCGGGTGGGTGCTGGTGGTCCTTCATCCTTGGGCAGGCAGTGCTGTGAGCACCCATGTTTCTCCCTTTGCAGCAAGCCACCCGGGGGGACGGGCTGGCCTTCCAGGTGAGGACGGGGATGCTGCAGTGAGCGCCAGCCGTACCGGGAGCCTGTCCTGCTGTCGGCGCCAGCCTCTGTCTCTGGACCATGCAGGCAGCACCGTGTCAGGATGCTTCCCCAGGGGCAGTTTCCAGCCGCTCTGTAAGTTACTGACCGGGAAGGAGAGTGGCTTTAGTCGTTCATCTCCCAGTAAAGAGCTTCTCCCCTCCCTCTCCTGACTGGGGCCAGCGTGGCTGTAACGCACTTGGACCTGCTTGCCCCGATGCCCCTTTCAAGGCCGAAGGTGCTCAGCAGCACCCAGGGGACGGGCTCACTGGCCCTGAGCACCTAGAGGTGCTGCTGCCCCTCAAAAAACTTCGGTGGGCAGGAGCCAACGCTGCAGCCAGGACAGGGTATGTGCCGGGACTGCAAAATACGCAGCTGGCTGCCACTTCTTCCCTTCAGGGGCTGCTCTTGGCCCCTTCTTTGCTGGATCTGCGTGCCCTGTGCTTACCCGGTGCTGCAGGCTCGTGGGCCCTTTCCACTCACCCACCCTGCTCAGAAGGGGGGGGGCTGTGCCGCTGTGTGGCTCTGCTCAGGCTGCAGCTCTCTGCGCCTTCGAGTGCCACGCTGCGCTGTGCCCCAGGGGCTTTACCCAGCCTTTCTGCAGCTTCATCTCATCGTGTGGCGCTGGGGGGAGGACTGGCCTGGCACGCTGCACTGGGGTGCGGGCAGGCGTGCTTTGCCTTGCTGTCTGTTCCCGCATGCGACTTGTGCCCCTTCCCTACAGTGCAGGCCCCGGGCAGCGTTATGGTTCTGGGACCCGTGCCATGGCTGCTGTGAAGCAAAAAGGTGGCCTTTCCCCCACTGCCAAGTCGATAAATCTCCCAAAAAAAAAAAAAAAAAAAAGAAGGACAAATGGGTTAAAGGACAAATGGGTCCAAGGACAAATGGGTCCTGCAGGACTGATCTGCGCGGAGGGTTTCCACGGTCTGTTCGTTGCTGTAACCCCATTAAACTGGCGCCTGCTCACGTCTTGGGTTTTGTGACTTGTCTGTTTCTAGAGCCTCCCAAAAAAAGCAGACAGAGAAGAGCCTTCCCATTTCTTTAATCTGTGTAACTCACAATGATACTGTACACAAAGCACACCCAGGCATTGGAACGATGCACTAACAGCAAGGAGGAGAAGGAAGTTGTACAGAAGGTTTGTCACACACAAGCGAGTCGTCGGCACGGTACTGTACACACAGGGGCGTACCCAGCGCGGCTGCCGGCGCCCTCGGGCATGCCCTCCGGTGGTTCCCCACACACACACGTCTGTTACCCCTAAAGCAATTTTTTATAAATAAAATATAACTAACATCGTTGGAATATAAAATTGACAGTCGAGGGTATCAACAGGCAGAGGGTGCTGAGGACAGGGAGGGGACCGTAAGGCTTCTAGAACTAATAGGAAATGCAGCAAACGGTGGCGATACCTGAAGAAGGGGCTGCTACAGCAAGCACGGCGGCTGCTGGGCGGAGCGGGAGTTTGTTAGTAACCCTTTGGCTAGTTACTGCTCTCGGCTCGCGTATCGGACACTGTAAACGTTTTTGGTATTAGAATTTCGCCTCATCTGACTGACTGATCTAGCAAACCCAGGAAACAACTCGGAGGGAATGCATGGGCTCCTCTTTATTTTTAAAAGACTTTAAAGGGACAGCGTCAGGTAGAAAGTCTGGCCCAATAGTGCAGTAATACAAAAAGCTGCTTTTTATAAAAAATCTGAGCTCCACAGCAGAGTTTGATTCCCATGGAAACAACTGGGGAAAAAAAAAACCCAAGAAACAAAAAAAAAAAGACCAAGGCAGCCTGTGCGGCGCGGGCTGTATTGTGCTAGTGTGTGAGAACAGGACGTGGGCTGCCGCAGAAGCGGCGTGACTGTCGCAGGTCGCGCTGATGGCTGCCCAGACAACGGTGATAAGGAGGAGTACAAGAAACTTGATATTCTTTCATTTTGAAGCAAACGAGTTATTTGTAACAAAGATAAATTAGGTCTTTAACCTGACAGTGCCCCTTTAGTAAGGATGGAATATACATTCATCTTTCCCTCACTGCATCCAAACGGATCCTCTTCCATATGTGTGGAAAGGCATCGGGTCACATGCATTGCTCTCCAAAACAGCTCGGAACAAACAGGTTATAAACACAGAGTTAAACTATTGCTATTGTTCTTTGAGTGAGTAGCACGTTGATCTTTGCTTCAGATAGATGAGTGCCAGATGGGGGTGGCTGAGGATAGGTTGATGTAGACTATGATGGACTGAATCGGTGGAGAAAAACTTATTGGCGTATTTCCTGGTAACTACACCCACCTCATCTGGTATTATTGCAGCAATAAAGGTCCTGCTCTACAATTGCTTCTCCGTGTTGGATCCGTACAACAGATGGGGGGCCAGGGAAAGGACCTGGGCAAGTTTCAAGAAGCTCAACAAAGGATGAGGACAGAGGTGCTGTGATTGTCAGTCTAACTGTTAGTAGCTGTTTAAAACATGAAGTGATGGAGAGGTGAGTATAATATTGCACTTCTGCATTCATTGACAGTTACATTAAACTTGGTCCATAAAATAATTGCTTTGTACATAATGCCTGAAACAAAAAGCTACATTTTTAAATATTAATAAACCCTGAAGGTTCCAGTCCCTCCAGACATTTTTCTTCCTCTACATAAATAAATAACTTTCAATTTTATATATCCACTTTTTATGTTGAACATTTACATTCGCCTCTGTTTTACACTATCTACACATAAGAAAATGTGAACATCTGGTCAGCATTGGAAAATGTACAGATCATGCCTTGGTTGTGGGCTTGGAGGAAAGCTGAATTTTGCAAAGGCCATATCCAAATTTGCAGAAATTATTTTGTGATGTGGTTTGGTGACTTCACAGGATGGATTGTGGCTTGGCTTCCTACTCAGATGGCATCTGTTTGATAAAACATTCAACTAGCGAAAAGCTGGGACAATTCACATTGGTTTTAAACCCAGTAAGCTCTGGATGTACATTCACAGAGAGCTAAGCTGAGTCGGCAGAAAGGGAAGTCAGTTTTTGGTAACAAAAGTTATCAGATACATTCTGTAATTGAGTAATTATCAAAGAGAAGTGGTTAAACATTTTGCAGCCAGGCTGCAAGACGTGGGAGATGCACGGGGCGGCGGGCGGGCAGTTGGGTTTGAGCACTCCACCGGCTTGGACGCCGTCGGCAGCTCAGCACTGTGCGCAGGCAGCGCGCGCTCTGCCTCCGCTTCCACCCTCCACGTGAGATCTACCTTGGATGTCTGATGAGTTAGATTTGCCTACCGTGGCCCAGAGCCAATTAGCAGAGCAGCGTTCACAGTGCTGTGTGTCTCAGTGCGGCCGTCCTGCACTTCATATTGAAACAGTTAATAAAATGAAGCAGC